ATTTTGCCATCTCCTGTAACAGCAGCAAGATGTTGAAGAGAATTGTTGAAGGGGAGGCAATGAGTCATGTTTCTGTGCCATGCTGCCAAAACTTCACATATTTATTTGTTAAGAAAAATGGATTTGAAACCAATCCTGACTGGAAAGATGAAATGCTTCTCTTTTGCTCCTTTAGTTTCTCCTAACATTGCCTTTGTCAAGTCCTCAGAACATTCCATGGCTATTTTTTTCTTACTCTTAATTGCCATCTGTAGCTTTAGGCTAACAACACTCATATTTCTATGAGGAAGTCCAGGCCAACCACAACAGAGACCATTTGTAGCAATAYTAGCACACACCACTGTAGCTGTTTCTACATGCTAGTTCATAATGTCTGCCATAGAGATTTCAATTCCCATCGTTTGCTTTGCCAGGTTCAGTCTTCCTCTCTTGTGAAGCTGCATGTTCTTGCTGGCAGAGGTGGTATCAGTGAGAGATGGAGTCCCACTGGCAGGTTTCCAACTGCAGTGCTGGAGCATGCCCACAGCCATCCCTAGGCAGATGTTTTCATGTTGAAGAAAAGCTGGTTTTGTTGAGGCAATTTTGCTTAGATTACAGAGAGGATTTACCTCACAACAAGTCAGAACACTAAAGAAAAGTTGTTTGGAAGGTATTTCTAAAGGTCAGAAAATCCCTTCTGATCTTCCTTAACAGAGGACTATTGCTAGCAACAGATGAGGTCAGCAGGGACCTTATCCAAACTAGTCCTGAAACGCAGAACAGCAAAGCACACCATCTCAGCACATCTCATTTCTGAGCAGCATGAACTGCCTATTGCAAGAAGTTTTTTTCAAATCTGTGGTCTCAACCTAACAAACCACAGTCCATGGCCCTTATCCTGCTTACCATCCACCACAAGCAAAAAGAGTTTGGCTCCTTTGTCCAACAATCCCTTCAGGAAGCTGGGAAGGGTTTACATGCAAACTGATGGTAATGAAGGTGCACAAGAGAGATTTATCTCTTAACTTTAAAGAAACCTTTTTTTTTTCTTTCCAGAATAAATGCATCTTAACTCTTCTTCAATCCAATATAGCATGTAACCCTGGTCTTCAGCCCAAGTCACCAAGGACTCCTTTCACTCCAAAAGAAACATCCCATCTCTAGCTTCCWATATCTTTGCAAAAGCTTCCAGATAAAATGAGAAGGTTTTAACATTTTTTTATCATCACCTGCTTCCAAAAAGTCATACCCTGCCCTCTCCTATGAATTCACAGCGAAGGGTTTCAGCTTGCCCAGCAGCACTATTTCCACATGCAGCAGCACCTCAACGACATTAAATAACAAGGCAAACCCAATCATACCTGCTCAGAACAGAAGTGAAGTTTCTAATTTACACATGTAGATTTGCTTGATTTTAGCACTTTGGATAAATGACCATCTATAAGGTTGTCACTTAGACTATGCATTAACATCCTGGCTGCTTATTTGCTATTCATCAAAATGAAATGCTCCCAATTTAAGAGCACACAAGTTTTCAGAAGAGAAGGAACACCCCAAGAAAACTAAATTCAGAGCAGGCATGGTTATTTCTTGCCAGGGTAGGCTGGTTTTTCTATTATTCATTTGGTATGTGTGTGTGCTCGTTTCAGCAGTGGAGGGGCTTATTTCTTCACAGCAATTGGTATGGGACTATGTTTTGATTTGTGCTGAACACAGGACTGATAATACAGAGATTTTTTTTGTTATTGCTGAGCAAGGGTTACACAGAGGCAAGGCCTTTTCTGCTTTTCAAGCTGCCATGCTGGTAAAGAAGGTGGGGTACATGGGAAGATGGGAGCAGACAAAGGCAGGACAGATGACCCCAGCTGAYCATGTCACATAACATTATGCTCAGTATATAAAGTGGAGGAAGAAGGAGGAAGGGGAGACACTTGGATTGATGGCATTTGTCTTCTCAAGTCATTGTTATGTGTGATGAGGCCCTGGTCCACTAAAGATGGCTGAACAGCTGCCTGCCCATGAGAAGTGGTGATTTAATTCCTTGATTTTCTTCATCTGTGTAAATGGTTTTTGCTCCCCCTACAAAACTGCCTTAATCTCAATCCATGAGTTTTCTAGCTTTTACCYTTCCGATTTTCTCCCCCAATCCATCTGATAAAGGAGTGAATGAGTGGCTGTGTGGTGCTTGGCCACTGGCTGGGGTTTCATATATTCAAAGCTTGATGCCATCTTTTAACTGGAAAATTCTAATAATTCAGATGCATAATGGGTGAAATCTATATCACARTAGCTTGTGCAGTTCCTGAGCTCCTAAGAATGCAAACAATTCTCTTTATGAATCACTCAATTACATGATAATGTAATCTGAGCTAACTTTGTATGCACAAATATGCTCTAACCAGCATACATTTGAAAGCACATATAGTAATGAACAAAACTATATTTTGCTATACATAACTCTCTGGATAGTTTTTGGTTCTAATATGCTACTGTTTAAGAAAAGTGTGTAAGGACAGCCTGATCATGTAGCAAAGAGCCCTGTATCCAACTATGTCTAAAACCAAGAGGCCTGTGAAAGAACAAGGCAATTATAGAGTAGCATTTTGCTGATGTATTTCTGCAGCTTTCAGAATTCATATTTGCCGTTTCACTACTACATATACTCTTTGTACCTACAGTATCCCAAACAGTAAAATCCATAGATTAATCACAAACTTAATGAAAGCATACTGGCTTACTTGTTTTTCCATTGTTCTGAATAGTTCAGTATGATTAGCAAACTTTACCATCTCGCTATTCAATTCTAGCAGATTATTTCCCATATTATTTGTGAATGTGGTGAATACCACTAGCACTTGCACAGGTTTCTCCATCATCAAAACCAACTATTTACATMTTTTCTTAGTTGACTACCTTTCGATGGGATAGTAATACTCATGGCATCATTCCTCTCAGATCTGGGCAACTTACTTTCTTGGTGAGAAATCGTAAGAAAAGTCTTTTGCAAGCCAAGGCAGACAGTCTTAACCAAACCACCCAATCCACAGGTCTAGCAACATTTTCAAAGAGCTGCAGCAGACCTGAGAGACAGCACTTACCACTGGCTTCTCATAAACATCTGTTTATTTCAATCCCCTGTATAAGTGTGGCATCAATTGCATTCTTTCCAAGAATAAGGCCACCAAATTTAGTCAGAGGTGATTATTCAGACAAAGGTACTGACATAATCTTGCTAACAATGAAGTCAAATGTTTCGTGCAGATAGTCACGAAAATGAGTCACTTTTTTGGCTCTTTCAAAAAAAAAAATTTTTTTGTTTAGTACACAGACTTACCATAATGAGGAATAATGTGGGAAAATGGTGATAGGATTATTTTGCATGAAACACATGGGACCAGAAAAATGGAAGACAATACTCATTTAAAATCAGAATCCATAGCATGTTTCTTGGTAATTTTACATGCAATAATAACAAGATTCTGTTTTCGTAAGAAATATTCACTGTGCTCTATTTCTTAATTACTGAAGCTTACAGAGTCCTTTAGCTAAAGAAAGCCCATACTGTGCAGTGGGATCCTGTTTCAAAAAGAACTTCAGGATGTCACTGGGTAAAGAAAATTTGAGAACATTTGTTGAATATTTTGCTGTACCAGTGTAGAAACTGTATTTGAATGTCCTAAGCTCTTATGTCAGGTGTGACTTTTAAATTCCCAAGACGACATAAATAACAACCATAAAAATAAACAGTCTAATGGTCCAATCCCAATTGCAGCTTTTATTGCTGTGATTACTATACACTGACTGATAAGTTTTAAGATCTATCCCATGCTATTATTACTCAACTATGGGACAAAATCCTTCACTAGCTTTCCTAATCCACACAGACGCATATCTAGGTCTCAAGCGATTTTGCTCATGACAAACATTGAGCAAAAGATCAAATTGCAGTCAGACTAATTGTAGTCAAAGCTTGGACTCTAGCCTGAGACCTAACCCTGCTCTCAACCAATCCCCTGAAACATTCATGTAGACTTCAGTTGTGTCTGGAGAAGTCTGTAACTTCTCAGACTTCACTCTGGTTCAGTTTTGTCTCCAAGTACTGTTACAGCATGCTGTAGTTTTACATAAAACATGTCTGTGACTATTCCTTTTTTCTTGTTTTTGTTGTGGTTTTTTGTTCTTCTTTTTTGTCTTCCACTCTCCTTCCTGACCTGAAAGCAAAGCACTTCACAAATTCTCCATCAAACAGAAAAATCTCTGGCACAAAATTAAATAACTCGCATCAACATTTCTATCTCTGAAAATACTGAAGACAAAAAGAAAACGAAACAGAAGTCATGTGAAGTTGACCTTTAGCCTGATTTATCCCCAAATTGAATACAAATCCAGGCAAAACAGTAGGCATTTTCCTAGGATCACYAGTCTCAAGAGACAGAACATAAACATCACCTCTGGTCTATTTGATGAGTTTTATTATCCCAGATGAAAGTGTAATCAGACACTCATCCCCAAGAAGAATTTGACAGGAGAGCAGTATTTCAGAAGAGTTTGCAAAACTACAAGTTGAGAAACAGAAAACAGTAAGTCTGAAGATAATTTGCCATGTTTGGAGGGGTTTTTTAACCCTACATGTGACAAAACAAACTGCTTTTCTGCAGACTCCTACCGCGTCATGGACAGCATTTTATTCTCCCTGAAAAATTACATGTTCCACATTAGTACTTGATTTGAGTATGCATCTTTACTTTCTTTGTCCCTCTCTGCTATGTTATTTCTTTTCTCTATTTTTGTCCATTTGTTGGTTAAGAAGAAGGTGTCTTCCACTTTATATGACCAGAGCCCCCCATCACAGGAGTCCAGATTCTGTGTACATCTCAAAGGGGCACTAAAGGTGACATCACTGTCACCATCCTTCTAGTCTGGATTACGTGTAATATCTGTGTTTACATTTTGATTTTTCAATGCCATTCTACATAAAATAAATGATGTGTGCAAAAAAGAAAAAAAGTCCACCTACTCACCCAGATAGCAATAATTTACCCTGAAGTTTCAAATCAGCAGCACAGTCATCAGATTGACAGTTCCTCTCAAAAACAGTCTGTGAAAAACAGAGGAAACAACTGTTAAAACATGAAAAGAGATGGATCTAAATTCAAAAAAGGAACATCCTTGGATAAAATAAACATAAGCCAAAATCTGTGATACACGAATATATGGTATGAGTATTAAAGAAATTCAAGATGAGGCAAATTTTATCTCTATCAGTACTGGTTTTATTCTCTTCTAATTGAACAAGAAGTTTCATCAAAACCAGACTCTCAGAGGTTTTTCTCCATCCATTCTCCCTTCTCATCTGACAAGAATAACTGCTCATACAATATTTCTGGCATTCTTCTTTCTCTTCCCCAGCTATGTGCATAAAAATGAATCAGAAAATAAAGTGTTCATGAAACTATTTTCAGACCTAATGATTGCAAGTAAGGAAATCATAGACCAAATTTTCCTTAGATTTTATGTGTGGCAGGAAACATTCCTGCCATCATGAAAGCAGTAGAAAATTACAAAGACTGTTATGTATCAGTGATGATACTCTCAAATAATGGAATCATTGTCAATCTGGTGAGCTCTGGTAATTCTGAGGAAATGTARCAGATTGATAAAGCTGGGAACTATGAAGAGACAACATATGGACCAACTAYTTAAGTAGCAAGAAGAAGGGACATACACAAAAGGTCTACGAACCTATGCAAGTCTCTGGAGTAGTTTGCCTTGGCTAAACAAGGCAGCCACCAGAGAATGAAAGAAGAAAAAGGGAACATGCTTCCGGCATCAAAGAAACCCAGATGCCATCAAGATCATGGTTACTTTCCCCTTCTGTTTAGACCACAGACCAACACCTTTCTAAACATTTTCAGGCTGGAGAACTCATTCTTTCAGAGTCGTACTGCTCTTCAGCTTACCAAATATTCAAACAACCAATGAGTGTTGCCAATGTGAATATGAGTGTTCATCTAGGAAACTTGACAATCCACTGATTTCTTCCTTTAATATGAATGTTCCGTTCTACAGTCTTGGCTTTATGACTTTTATTACCAAAATAAACATATTCCAATCATAAATGCAAGGATACAGAAAATCTGTGCAGGACACATGTGAGGGTCAGATTGGGTTGGAGAGACCGAGAAAGCAAAAAAACACAAACCATACTAAGTTAGTATCTTTTAAGAGCTCAGCCCGACTGCATCAGGACTGAAAAAAGACTTGAATCTTAAGAGAGCAGAGAGACTTCTAGACCTTTGCTTTCCAGGAAGGTTCTTGACTGAGCAGGCAGCTCGTTCTTCTTCTTCTATGCTGAGTTCCCCAAAAAGGAGTGGACCCGTATGAAGTTTTTTTTTTTTTGTTGGACAAACAGATATCAAACTATGCTGTAGGTTGTACTGGTTGCAAAAGAAGAAAGGTGTAAAGCAGCCAGCTCATCTGGGCTACTTACTTTGCTCTTTCATTTTTCTTCCCTACCTTTTGCTTCCTCAGAAGTGAAATTTGTTGGGGTTTTAGAAATGAGGACTGAACTTACCCTTCCTCCTTAAAAAAGACTTTCACAACCAAAGGACAAGAATAACCCTGAGACAGGAACCGGCACTAGGCTTCCCTCTCAAACATGGCACATTTCAGAGGTAAAGTTTCAAAAGTCCTCAAAATTAATCCTCAAACCACTGCAGTAGTTACACATAGGAAAGACTGCTTGACAACTTTCAGAGAGGAAAGAATAATGAACTGCAAAAAAAATTCTTGCCTGTCAGTTTCTCTGTTTACGTTGCAGAAATCTTGGCAAAGTGAACACAGCAATCAAAGAAATTATCTATGCTTCTCAAAGTACAACATACTGTAAGTAAATTTAAGTAACTATCTAATAATCCTTGAATTTTCTTGCTAAATCTATAGTTGCTGCTATTCAGGAAGAATGAACAAATACCTCATTTTCAAAAATCACTGACCATGTATCTCTTCCAGCATATCATGTACTAGACAGCAAGCTACTTTGAAGTATGTTGGGAGTATTTCCTTATGTCATGGATACCCAAGTTTCTTCACAACACTGGGCTGGGAGAAAAATAAGGATGCTGAGTTCCAAGATCTGTAGCTGTGTAGGAGTGCATTATTTGCTTCTGTGGAGGATTTTGAACCTGTTCATGTTTGGGGACAGCTCCCTCACCTCAGAGCATATGGCTGGACTAGATTTCCAGTCCAACAGGCTCCTAGGACCCGCAGGTGCAGGCACAACAAATTCAGCAGCTGAGWTCCATGCTAATGGTAGCTCTGGAGTATTTTGCTATTTTTCACTGCTGGTATACAAGGACTCTTATTCCACCTTCCCTTTTTGTATGTCTTCTGGAGTCTTGACCTTCCAGGTTCTCATAGTCAGTCTATTTCCTCCATTTTCTTCTCCGCTAACTTGAGCCTTTCCTTCCTCAGTCTTTTGCCACTTCTACCTTTCAGGCTGACTAATTTTTGCTGTCTAAATTTCTTCTAAAGAATTAAGAAGTGAAAACACTTTAAGTCATCATAACRTTTATGAACACTGCTTTTATATTGTCACTGTGCCCTTACTTGGTCTACTTGAGCTGCAATTTCTTTGGGCCAGAAACCATACCTAACTCAACACTGCATGTTGTTAAAGCAGGAGTCCATTCCTGGGATACGGCATAGACCCTACTACAACATCATCGCTAATTTTAACTCTAAGCAATCTTTAAAGTGGTGCAGCTTTACAATACAAGCTTTGAAGATTTGTAGAGCTCTTTAAATATTAAAACTGTTGAAGAAGTTAACCCATAGATTGCATGTGTTATCCATAATTGAAAAAGGAAGTAGGGTAAAACTAACTGTGGAAGCAGATCATATTTTTTGTCATTACTGTTACCCTAAGTGAAGAGGAGCAATTCTGAACAGTGGTTTTATGAAGTCTAATTGAATTTTATTATGTTCCACTAACATTCTATCAAGTACCTCACAGTTTTATATATATACATCAGAGATGTCCAGGAAGCTTCCTTACATAAGAAATATATACATGAAAAATTGAGGAGGATGGGGGGCACAGATCAGGGAAAAAATTGTCCTAAGTGAGAAACACTTTGAAACACTCCTGAGAAAAGAACTGCATATCTTTTCTCAAGGCTACCACATATTTGTCTTGCATTTCCATGAGAAAAATAGGTGTTTGTGTGCTCAATGACCAGAACAGGATAACCTCAATGCTTCTAGAACACAACCTCACTATACAAACACAAAAGTAAAGTGAGTCTGTCAAAATTCCTGCTGTCACCAGATGTATAGCAAAGCAGAGACCAAACCCAGCATTTCCAGGGTTGACAATTGGTCTCTGCACTCTCTCCACTGCTGCACAGATGTGAGAAGCTACGGGAAATGGTTTCAGAGCAGTTCCCACCAAGTAACCAAACTTTCTTTCCAAACATGAGTTTCTCAAATTCTGCACAGCAACTTTTTTGAGTAAAACAATTATGCTTTTTGGGAGGTCCAGTAAAGTGACAGATGTATTCCTGAGCGGTTAGGAAAGATGGATGGCATCAATGTCCTCCAGAGGGTATGCTAAAAAACCTACATGAAGGTACACTCCTATAAAAAGTGAATATAGACATCTGTACCCAATCAAGCATACAGGAAGAAGAGGTTGAGAACTGATCAAGAAGGGAATACATCTACATAGGTAGTCAGATCAAGGCCTCAAAGCAAGTATCTTTGTGTCCATTATACCTCTTGAAGAGAGACATAAGGACTAAATTCTACATTTTGTGGTAAAGACCAGGGGTAAATACACAAGAAAGTAGAAGAGGTCTCCAGTTCCTATGTCCTAAACCATCCTAAGCATAAAGCTGCTGGGTATAGGACATGTAGATATTTTCCTTTTCCTTCTTGCTGGTAGCRGACTCTACTTAAAGCTGCTAGGAGGTAAAACAATTAAGAAGGAGCCTGGCTTCAGCCTAATGGTCAGAGCTCGRTGCTCTGAGGAAGGGCATCTGAGATTTCAAACCAGGCCTACTAAACTGCTTCACTTTCTTTCAATGGCTACCTAAAATTAAACAAATTATGTTTCAGGAAGCAGGGAAGAAAACAGGAAACTAAATAAATAAATAAAAAACTAAATAAATAAAAAACTCCTGTGCTTCTCTAATCCACAGAAAATACTGGAAGTCTTTCAATAAATTAAGAGGGAAAAAAGCATTTTAAAATATCCAACCTATCAAAAGTCAGGGAAGCACATGGAAGTTTCAGGTTGTAGCCAAAATATACAGTCAAGACTTTGAGAAGTTGCCAGCACTGTTCTAGTAAGAGTTCTGCCCATGCTTTCACAGAAAGGGAAAGTGACAGCTGAAGGTCAATGTTTGAAGAGAAAGGGGAGAAACAGAATTTTCAAAAGAACCCTTGAAAACATGTCACTTTATGGACTGAATAACAGAACAATGATTCACCCTAGATCAGACCTTTAACTACTTCTTCACATAGTGGTCTACAAAAGGTTCAGATAGCACCCCTTAAAAAGTGGCAGAGCTGAAGATACATTCTTTTACATTTCTTTTAATAAACTGTACCATGGACTTCTGAAGGAATAATTAGGTTATGCTAAATAATCTATGTTAAGAATACAGTATTTCAGTGTCTACACTCTACACTGATTTCCTGTAAATTGCCACCAAACTCTATGGTATGTGCAGAGATGATTTAGCAATTAGATCATGCTAGTAACAAAAAAAAACAATTCAACAAGGGGGCTTGTTATTCTAATAATTCTTTATTTTTTTATATTTTGATGCTATCTGGTTATAAACATGTTATCTGGTGAAGTCGAGTTCCTGGGTCTTATTTAGAGACCAGGATATATGATCCAATTTTCAAATGCTGAGCTGCAAGTAAATCTCATTATCTTTCCTAGGAAGTATTTTCTGTTTATAGCTTTACAAACCAATGACAACAGTGTGCTTAAATACAGATACAGGAGACTGATTTTAGACCATAATTTTGATTTTAAACTTTCAAGTTGCCCACAAAATAAAGCTATTACCTAAATGTCTACTGACC